AACAGATAAAGATAGTGGGATTGCGTAATTGTGTAATTGTAGCCATTTCCAATGTAATGTAATATTTTTCCAAGTAAATCAGGCACAGGATGTTTGATTGACACAAAGCTAACAAGAGTTTGACGGTATTTGGCCTGAGGATGGCTTCGGGCTGACGCTGTCCCTGTCTAAACATTGTGTGCTGAAACATATGACAGCGAGCATTCAGGGATTTTTGGTGGCAAAATAATGTCTTCACTACCTGTCACAGTTTTCCAAGCATAATCTACTGATGGATCTGCTTACACCATTTTATTATATGAGTCACATTCAAAATGACATATTTCTAGTAAATGTGTGCGCACTTTTATAACTCCTTTTCTCTGGGTGGTTGGACCGTACCATTGTTTCCTCTTGATGCATGCCCCATTTAGAGTACAGTTAATGTAGCTATTATTCTAAAGATTTGTGGCCTATCAGCTTTGGGGTAATGGCCCTCTGGTAGCCTGTGTAATGGCTGTGCATTGTCATGAAATATGAAGTGAGAGGCTCATCATTAATGTATGACTGCCTGCCTTTTGCTCATAATGTTTTCTTTTCCCTGCCACAAAGCACTCGTTGATAACAGGAGACCTAAAGGAATGTTTGGAATGTGTTTAATGGGATGACATGCTTCTTTAGACTCGCAATTAAAAGTATGTGGATTCAAGGATGAAAAGCAAATTAGTCCTCGGCAAATACGGCTATTTTTACTCACTTCTAGTGATGAATTGTTCTAGTGCACACAGACAGGGTCTGGCTTTTGGGCTGTTAATATTTTAACTCTACAGATGGCAAATATGCGCGGAGGCCTGGGAAAACCCTTCACATGGTTAAATTTTGACTTTTTTTTATTTTTTTTTTACTATATATAGCTCTGAAAAATACAAACTAAAGTTGGTGTATAAAGTCTGGTTACCTTAAAACGCGAAAAAGGGAGAAAATCACATTTAACCTTATATACTTATACATAACTTTATATACTTATACATATACAACATTACTGTCTAATTGTAAAGAATTAGTAAGTTCACAATAACAAATTAAGATTAAGAAATTAAGTTCACAGTAAGAAAAGGTTCTTTCTGTTCATGCGAACATTGGTGGAAAAATAATTGCTGAGTCATTCACTAAGCTCTGTACTGTTTTCTAACTTTCTTATCATTAATGTCTTTTTATAAGGTCATTTAAAGATTTTAAAACTTTGATGCCATCTGTACGGATTGTGTAAGGAGTCTTCTCTGTTTTGATGATGTGACAGTGCAGAAACATTGCAGACATTTTGACAGCTGGTATCTGATTAAAAACTGAACTGATTAGGCTTTTGTCCATTTCACTATGGCGCGCAGCTCTCCAGCAACTTCTTCAAATCATGAGAAAATTTAGCTTACATAGGAACGTTTTAGACATAGACAGACTGACTGAATTTACCATTTTTTAAATTGGCTCCTTATGTGATTTTTTTTTTTCACACAGAAAGCCAAAGCAAGGTTAGAAAGTAGCCTAAATAAAAATATTTCCATGCTGTTTTCATAAAATATATTTATGTTGTCTTAAAGTACAGATGTCACAGTATATTAAATTAGCAGAAAAACTCAATTTAGTCAAAACATGATTTCTCATTTTGTTTTCCAGATTTTAGCCACAGCAACATCTGACTGGTTTTCCCAGACCGCTACACAAACACATTCATTTTCAGGAAATTGTTTATGCAATTTATGAAACATAAATTCCACTATGACACATGTGTGTCCTATGGGACACACCCCAACCCATCATCGCTAAACTTAATCAGGGAGAATATACAAGTTAAAATTAATGAGTAAAGATCTCATTAAAACAGAGTCTGTCCTTTTACGGCTATGCACGTGTGTGTCTGCGTCTGAGTGTGTGTATGTCTGTGTGAGACCATGAGGGGCCTGCGTCATTCAGAACACGGTGATTAATTGTGCCACACGCAATTAGCCCATCAAATTGAGTGTGTCCTTCTCCCCTGTGACGAGGTGATGTCAGAAATTAATGCTGAGGTACTAGCCTGTTCCTCAGCAGAAAAAATGACTGACGTGAAAAACTCTGAATATGAGAACACTCAATAGCCTTGATGTGGATGATAATGGAACATACAGATGTTGTCCATGTACAACATATATGGCCAAACATTTGTGGACATCTGACCATCACACCCTTGCCTACACTGTGGCCACAAAGTTGGAAGCACACAATTGTATAGAATGGCTTTCTATGCTGTAGAATTACAATTTCCCTTCAGTTCCAGCAGGACAATTCCCCAGTGGACAAAGCGGGCATGAAAACATGGTTTGCCAAGGTTGGAATGGAAGAACTCGAGTGTCCTGCACAGAGCCCTGACCTCAATCCCTGAACACCTTTGGGATGAACTGAAACTCTGATTGCACCCCAGACCTCCTCGCCCAACATCAGAGCCTGACCTCACTAATGCTCTTGTGGCTGAATGAGCACAAATCCCCACAGCCACGCTCCAAAATCTAGTGGAAAGCCTTCCCAGAAGAGTGGAGCTTATTATAAACCAAATATGGGTGTGATGTCAGGTGTTCACAAACTTTTGGCCATATAGTGTACATAATCATGACATCCATGTTCTTTCTTTTATTCTCTATTTTCTCTTTTCTTTCCTTTTTCCCATTCTTCTGCAACTACTCAATCTTCTTCCCTCATTTCCCCTCATTTGTTTCTCTTTCTCTGATAAATGCTCAGAATTTCCCATCCGAGTAAAGGGACATTGCTTAGATGAGAGTAGAATAGTAAAATTAATGGAGCTAATAAACTGACTAATGAACAACCAAAAACCTCTTCCTCTTCAGAAATTCTGGGTGCTTTTGGACACAAGATTGCTTTCTTTACCTTTCAAAATGTTTCCCCTAATTTTATAATTTTAGAGTTTTTTAAACAGCCAATATCCACCCCATTGGACGATGGATAGCAATCTTATCTGGTGAAGCCTAACACATACATGAAGACAGTTATCTTTTTGCAGCTTTTACTCATTTAATGTCATAGGATAGATGAACATGCTTGTCGGAGTGTGCTAACTAAGCTATTCTTGTTGCATGAGCTAACAAATGCCTGTAATCCGTTAGTAGGCCCATTTTTACTGTCGTGGACTCACAGATAGTTATGGCATCTTTGGGATTTGACTTAACACATTAACAAATGTGTGATGTGCTTAGTGATTGTGGTGCCAATTAGTTTGTTGTTGTTTTATTTTGTTATTCCCATGAGATGATACCATGAGGTAGGAAATTGTTAGTGCAGTTACAATGGTGTTTAATAGGAAAGAAAAAAAAATCACCAACCTCAAATATTTTGCTGCTAGTTCCTCAAAACAAAAGACCAAGAGCTTCTTTTCTCACTCACCATTTACCATTGACATTGAACTTCATATCATTGAGAAATCCAGTGTAGAAGTAGTTAAGATGTTGGTGCAAATGTTGGATTCCAGGAAGCACTGCAGCTATACAGTGCAGTTGCATTGCATCTGAGTTACAGCAGAGACTAGACTCTGCTACTTAGAGATCTATAAGATGGCGAGTGTGATAGCGTGGACCATGGTAATAGAATGAAAGTTGTGGTTTGGGGAACTGATCTGCTGCACTGCCGTCTTCAAGTAGAAGAGCTAAATCCCAGTGCCCATTATCAGCAGGTAGTTGAAGGGCATTATTAGCAATGCCAAAGTGAAAATAGACCATCATGTTAATGAAAGACATTTAATACAAAAATGTCAAGTCAGAATTTCATTAAAAAATAAATCTTGGATGCTATTGAAGACGTTTTAATTAATCAATACGCAAGTCATTCAGGGTGGATTTTTTTCCTTTAAACTTTGAATGATCTTCCAATGGCAGCATATCCTTTTGCACAGTTGCACCACTCTGGAGCCTGAATGAAGATTCCTATGTGAATCCAGAAGTGAATCCAGTCATGATTGTCAAGGATTGTAGGAGGAGGTGGATGCAAGTGCAAATAATGTACTGTATAAAGTACAAACAAAACAACCAAAAACTGTGATACCAAGAACCACGATGGGTAGTGTAGTTCTGCACCCATTGGTGCTACCATAACAATAGTATGTTTGGTTTTGGAATTTCAAAGAGGGAAAGTGAAACAGAGACTTAAAATTTTAATCTTTTCTGTTGAAAACATGACAAAATCATTATTTTTTTATTCTTTTTGCAATGGAAGGTGATTAATGATGACAAGGCTATTAGGGATTCTCCTCACAGTCTTTAATTCCTGCTTTGTAGCTTGTCATCTCTTCCCTATTCAGCCCACATTAAACATGGGCTCCGCCACATTTCCACCTGTTCTTGTCTAATAAGAAAGCAATGAAACGGGCCTGTAAAACCGCATATAAATCTTTCAGGGTGCTAATAAAAAAGTCCCTCCAGGCATTTAGAGCAGTTGCTGTTGATTGTGCAACACTAAGCATTAGTGTTTGCTGCCTCTTAGAAGTAATGCTGTAAATATATCACAGACAACCACTCTGATGCGTTCCATTGGTCTGGCCATCATCTTAGAATTACACGCAAAAGTAAAAGCTCATGCTGAAGTGCTTCAGCTTGGGAAATGCTTTGTACAGCAGGCATTGTCAAGAAATAGTTTACCAAAATCCCTTTTTACATCTTTAGTAGGGATGCAACCAAATGCAAATACATTATCTGGAATGAACAGATAATGTGTTCTAAACGGATACGAAATGGTGGTGTACTGTTATTATCATAATTATCCATCCATTTCCTGAGCCTACCCCAGGGGACTCGGGGCACAAGGCAGGGGAACATCTGGGACGGGGTGCCAACCAATCGCAGGGCACAATCGCAAGCACACTACAGACAATTTGGAAATGCCAATCAACCTGCAACGCATGTCTTTGGACTGGGAGAGGAAACTGGAGTAGCCGGAGGAAACCCCTGAAGCACAGGAAGAACAAGCAAACTCCACATACACAGCGCTGGAGGCAGGAATCGAACTCCCAACCCTGGAGGTGCGAGGAAAATGTTCTAACCACTAAACCACAATGCCCCTTTTCTTCTTCTTCTTCTTCTTCTTCTTCTTATTCTTATTATTATTTTAGAAAGCTTGGCAGAAAGGGTCACAGGGCATCTGGGTAATTAGGGACTGGGTTCCCAGTGGGATGCAACTTTCATTTGGGTGCGAATGAGTAGTCAGGTATGAAGATTGTGGGACAACGAAAGACCACATGCATTAAAAAGAATGTACAGTGCTGTGCAATGCTTTTACAGAACCCTTGGTCAGGGTAGCGGTGCCTTAAATTTGGCTACTGATTTGTTTATATTTTGGGAAACTGATTAAACTAATTAAAGTTGTTATACTATATCAAATCAAAGTCAATTATTTGTCATTTGTACAGTTGACACATGGAAAACTGCACAATGAAATTCTTATGAAAGCTCCACTGACAAATACTGGACATTCGGTATATTAACCTGTAACATCTACTAAAAAGAATATACGAATGTAAAAGCAATACCAAGTATATCCAGGACAAAAAAAGGAAGAGACCATTCAGAATGCCAAAATACACTGAAAAACACAAAATATATATAGATATGGGTAGGTAGTGCATATACTAGTGTATATAAAGTGGTGTGCTTAAAAGATGGCTGTGCAAATGTAAAATAATTGGTACAAATGAAACTGTGAGAGTGGTATTAGAAAATCAGTTCTGTGTACATCTTTAATTGAAACCATTACTTGAGTGATGTAGCTGAGGTTGAGGAACTGCTGGTTCTAGAATTCACACACCACGCTGATAGTGCTGGTATTTCTATGTGTGGAGTAGGCCTTTGGATTTATTTCTGAAAATGCATACAGATTTGGATATTTGGGACACTAAACAGATACAGGTACTAATAACATCATTGCATTAGACCGCTAATATTTAGCAAGCAAGCCAAGAGTGTGATGGTCTGAGGAATAAACTTTTACAAGAGCCAAATTTGGAATGTCAACCCTCCACAGGATATGCAGCTTTATTTATTTCAAATGGAAAATGTAACAAATTAGATGGTATAAATGGAACATTAGTGAGACATGTCAGCAGTTAAAGGTTTCATAGGGACATTGACTACACACATGATGTTAGAACAAATGTGCATAACAGGATGCGGAGCTCATAAGAGTATTAATGGTAGTACATTAAATTAAATATTAAATGAAGTCCTCTGGAGCATCCAGGTGAGTTTATATGAAGCTGGTTGTCATCACAGCAAGAGCCTGGCACATGGAAGTGGGTCACAAAGCAATCAAGTCGACAACATCCTGTTTCATGGCTAGATCTCCAGAATGCATATCAGTAACAGCCTTGCAAAAAAGGAAGGTTAGAAAGACTTCACCCCATGATTGGCTATAATGCAAAGTATGTTGGTGCAAAAACTAGGACTGATAGTGATAATGGTGCATACATACACTTATATGTAGCAATGTTGTCTGTTTATAAAAAAAAAAGAAATATTGGTGAAAAGAACAAGTGTGACTTGTTTGATTTCATGGGAATTGTAACATGAGGTTCATAAAAGCAGGACACAAGTGTGTATACTCATGTTGTTTATTCAGGCAAATGCGCTAATCATAATCAAAGTCCATAGCAGGGGCCAGAACACAGGTGGCCAACCTCACACAAGAATAATCCATAATTCGAAAACAAAAACACAAGCAGTGTCCAAACCAAGAAACACGGAAACAAAGAAAAAGGCTTGGACTTAAACCACAAAAAATAGGGTATAAATATGCAAACTAATCAAGAACTAATACAAAACAGCTGGACACAGTCAGCTAACAAGCAAATGATGGAAAAGGGGGCGGAGACAGGACCAAAACAGAAACAAAAACAAATGTGAACACATTGTGCTTGTCACCATGGGAACCATGATGCAAAGGTGGAATCTGTGACAGGAATAATAATGGAAGATATGAACACTTGTCCCAACCTTAACCTTAGCGTTTCATACCAGTTGCGTGTAACAAAATGAGGGAATTGTTGCTGGTGGCTTGGGTGACAAAATGCCCAATTTTAACAGGACTGCACAAACTCTGCCTTGGAGAACCGGATTTAGGTGATTTTCTTTTCTAACTGCTTTATTCTGGTGGATCTGGAGCCTATCCAGGGAACACTGGGTGTGAGGCGGGTATACACCCTGGATGGGATGACAATCTATTGCAGGGATCAATAAGTTAATTAACAGGGAATGTCTCCAAATCATACAGGGTCAGTTTGACCCATCCCCCTCTGCATTACAGACTTTTGCAATATCTAAACTTTTTTTTTTTTTTTCCCCAGGATTTTCTCCCTAATTTAGTCTTGGCCAATTCCCACCCACCAGTTAGGTCTATCCTATTATATGACAGCTACCAACTACCTACTGTCTGCTTTCTCTGAGATGCATCTTTTCAAATGTCTGCATCTCAGGGCAGCATGACAGAGGAAAGTGCTGTCTGCCTCTTGCATGCATGAGCCCACAGTTGGCTAGAGTTGCTGTGATTGTTTGGAGAGAGAGTATGCCCCTCCCACCCACAAAGCACAGCCAATTTTGCTTTCTTAAACTCCCGGCCAAGGATGGCTGTAGCATCAGCAGGATTCAAACGATAGGGAGAATGCTTAGACTTTTGCTAGACAAATTTCTGGGGGAAAATTTGGCTACTGAACAGGGCGAAAACAGTATTATATGTATAACCTGTGATGCGAACCCATTGTGCCATTACTACATAGTTACCACAAAAACAGGGAAAACTTTGACTGAAATGGTACAATATTAAAATTCTGTATGTATATTTTGAGTTACATGAATCTATTGAATCTAAGCTGATTGTTCAGGGGCCAGTTTTCTTCCAAGGTTAAACTTCTACATCCAGAACCTGACAAAATACTCAAACCCATCTAAAACCCATCTAAGAATAATTCACACTTCTTAGACTTCATTTTGTGTTGTATTACACATCGGTTCAGTCATTCTTGGGATATGAAGTTTGACAAAAACTGTTAGATGACACCGCTGCAATGACCAAGCGAAAATGAGTAATCGATGATCGATTACATGCTGTCTTTTATTTCAGTTGCTATTTTCTCTCGCTCTCTTTATCTCTCTCTTTCTCTCTCTCATTGTCCTGGCTTTCAGTGATTCAGAGTGACCCTGTCGCAGGTCACGCACTGTGGAATCATTTCCATGATAACAGTCTACTTCAGAGTCGGTCCAGGAAGGCAGGAGATTATTCTAAAATGTGCACACCTCATTTCTGTAGAAGAAAAACAGAATGCACAGATGCAGTGTGGGGAGGGGACAGAGAGCAAGAGAGAGAGAGAGAGAGAGAGAGAGAGAGAGAGAGAGAGAGAGAGGATTTTCATGCAGCCTGGATAATTTATAAAATATGAATGTGACCTCCAATATTTTTCCTTCTACAAAATATTTATTGCATGCATATTCAGTGGCTTCATTATTAGGTTATGTGCACGGTAAGTGTTTTGATGTTTTGATATATTTTTGACCAGTGCATAGGTTCTCAAAGGCAGTGACAATGAGGTGTCACTATGAATATCATTTTAAATATCCCAGCAATGCTGCTATACCTGAAACACCTGTAGCACCACAATACATAATAAAATGTCACTATCATGTTAGTATCACTGCTATGGTGAAGATGGTCTACTAACAAAATAATATTTGGTCCGTGGTGGTCCTATAGTGATTCCTTTCCATTGATTGATGGTGCAAAGGGGAAGTGACGCAGTGTGAAAAACAGATGGGCTACAGTCAGTAATTGTACACCTACAAATTGTACCTAAATGGTTGGTGAAATTGATGCGTATAGATAGGTATAATCACCCCTGAGCTTGAGGGGTGAGCCCAAGGGGTGATAAAGTAAATAGGTAAATAAATAAGTAAGTAGGTAAATTAGTAAACAATTAATAAGTAAACAGTGGATGCATGTAGCTACAATCAACCTTCTACACGGCTTACAAGTTAGTGAGAAAGTAGGTAAGTAAATAGGTAAGCAAATAAGTTAGTACTGTAGACAAGCAAATAAATAAGTAAGTAGGATAGCAAGTAAGTAAACAAATAAGTAAGCAAGGAAACAAGTAAGCAAGTAAGTACATAGTTAAGAGCATAAATAAACACGCAAGTAAGTAAGTAAGTAAGTAAGCAAGAGACAACCGTTTTGTCTCTTGACATTAATAAGAAAAAAAATACAAATCCCTCTGTCCAGAAAACTTTGCTGTGTCAAATAACTTAGTTATCGCTTTACCTCTGGATGTTAAAAAGTGCAGACACGGGGACTCCTCCCAAAAGTGCTAAATAAACATCTCCTCACAGAAAACATCACCACATTAGTGATTCAACACCTTTTTGCAAGTCCCCTTAAACTGTTACTAAAGAAACAATTCCGTCTTAAAATGAGTGCTGAAATATAAACCTTTCAGATTAAACTACTGTCTGAGTTACTGTTAGAGAAAATTAATCAACATCATCTGACCAATCAGAATCAAGCATCCATCAGCGCTGTGGTATATTAGGATAGAATTGTGTGATGAGCTTTAAATCATAATCTTGTGTGGCATCAGTAGTAAATCCAACAGCTTTGCTCCAAATGGTGCAGCAATATCAATATTTGTCGAGAGCTCAGAAGGAGAAGAACATGTTAATAATCCATAGCTTAATACATCTTGCCTCCGTGTGAACTAGCACAGAGATGCATCATCTGCAGATGTAACGAGGATAATTCACCACATGCTCAAGTGCACGTTGGATTTAGTTGGGTCTGCTCAGCCTGGTGTAGGTGCAAGGGGAAGCTCACACTGCTCCATTCAGCATGTCTATTCGAGTTGAGCAAAGCCCAGCTCTGGAGAGGTGAAAAAAGGTCTGAGCCTCCAGCAACAGTCCAATCATACGGCTCATATTTTTATCCTGCTAATTCAGTGGTTGCTGATACCCCTGGCCTGGCTCATTTAGCACCCTGGTAGCAAGGGTGAAAAATTAAATGGATTTAAGATCAGAGTTGAAGTTTTG